CGGCGCCCAAAGCGGGGAGGGGGCGGGACAGCGGCTCCTGGGCTTGGCAGGGGTGCTGGGCTCCCTCCTTTGGCCTCAGAACACCGTCGTGCGTCTCCCGCCATTGCGACACCTCATTTGTACCTCTCCCTCGAGGGGACGACTCTGGCTTCTGGGAAGAAATTGCCACTCCCCCCTCAGAGGACCTCTCTCATGCCACGTCTCAGTTCACCCTCATCGGGGTCATTTCCTGACGGACTAGCTAAATTTAAATCCCATGGGACCACTTTGGGTGGCAGCCAACCCCTGGTCTAGGCCCTTCCCACAGTTTCACTTCTTTTTAAGCTATGGATTGTGCATTGTGGGGGCAGGTGACCTCAGTTTCCCCCAAGCGGAATATCAGGCTGCGGAGCCCTCTTCCGGCCCAGGCTGCCAGGAAGGTTTCTTAAGGGTGCATTCTGCCATGTTTAAAATACAGAAACTGCTAGGAAGAGGTGATCGGTCGCTTGGGCTTTCCATCTTAATGCTGCTACTGTTACCTAATTGTCCTGACACCTTTTCTGAGAGGGATTGGGCTGAAGGGGTGGGGTCTCTAATGTAGGAGAGAGAAGGAAAGGAGGTTGAGCACCTGGAGTGGGTGTTGGGGAAGGCAGGGCTTATAATAAGGCTTTACCCGGCCAAGGAGAGGGGATGGGAGTGGTGCTGAAGGCTGGGGTTGGGGGACAAGAAGAGGGGCCTCTAGGGGACTAGAGTCAGAAAAAAGCTGTGAGAGGGCTCTCTGTCCACGCTGGCTGCTTTACCCAGCACAGGGGCAGGTGTGACCTAAGTGCCAAGGGCACTAGTATTCCCAGCTTTTCGTTCTAGGACTCAGAGGCTTGGTGCCTGGGTGTGGGGAGTGCTGGGCAGAATATCAGCTAGAGGGGAGCTCTTCATTGAGAGGACTAGAGAACCAATCCACCTCTCACTCAGGATCCAGGGACCCAAGGGAGATTGGGGGGGGGGCTGCTTCAGGCTGACTTGGGCCCTGCAGTGAGAGATGATGAGAGGACAGGGAGAGGCTTGATAGAGGGGAATGTAGTAGATTCACACAGCAGGTCCTGGAGCTCCCACACAGTTTAGGTACTGCTCTCCCTAAGGCCCAGATCCATGGAAAACAGATAGAAAGAAGGTAAGTGAGGCCCAGCAAGCTAGGCTCCCAGCAAAGGGGAAGCCAGCAAATTAGAGTCCAGCCTCTGTTCTCCAAGGCCCTGGCTTGCTCTCCTCCTACCTCCCTTTTACATTCATCCTCAGGGAGTCTTGGTTTTTATGTCCAGGTCTCCAGGCTTGATGTATGCAGTAGAACTGAGATGGGGACACAGAGTAACAAGCAATCATATCCCAAGGTGACCTAAGGTGCCATTATTCTAATGGCACCCAATAAATCAGCCAACACATACTAAGTACTTGCTGTGTGCCAGGCACTCTTCTAAAGCACTTTATCTGTTTTAGAATCCTCAAACAATCCCCATTTGGTAGGTCAATCCTCATTTTACAAATGAAGCTAAGAGAGGTTAGGTAACTTGCCATTAGTTACACAGCTTGTAAGTGAGCTGTAGGACCAGGACTCAAATGCAGGCCAGCTGACTTTAGAGATTCCACTCAACTCCTGCCATACTGCCCCCCCAAGCTAAAAGGCCACCATGATCTCTGTGTGCTCAGAGGTGAGCTGTGCAATGCAAGATAGTCCAGGAAATGAAACTGACATGCGTGCACACACACACACACACACACACACACCCACACACACACTCCTACCCATGTTTGTGCAAACATGTAGCCACATTCAGTGTCATCCCTAAGTGTTCCCATATGCACACAACTCTCTCCCTCTCCCTCATGAGCACACACAGGGACATGAGCACACAGAGATTATTTGCACAGAGGGAATGGAGACCAGACCTTTCCCCTTCCCTGTCTCTTTGATTCAAATGGGCAGGACTCAAGCTTCTCTACCCCCTCATGATTCCCACTGGCTCCTGAATCCTCTCTCCTCCACACTCCCCTAGCCTCCAAACCTCCTCCCCCAGCCCCTTCCTGGCCGTTGGCTTCAGCCTGTAGCAGCAGCTGACTCCACTTAGATGCTGGCAGTCCCTGTCCCAGATCAAAGGCAGGGCGGCTAATTGTGTGTCTTAACGAGCCCCCCCTCAATGCTCCGGGCAGCCCAGCTGGCCATGGCCCCACCCCTCTCCCCCTCCAGCTGGCCAGATGGCACAGTGCCTGCGTCTGCCCCAGACAGTCGGGGCCAGGACCGAAACTGGGGCCTTGAATGGGAGCTGGGGCAGACCCAGTGGGCTGGACTTCTCTGAGGCTTGGATGCTTAGAACAGAGGGTGGCCACACAAACTCCGCCTGGTCACACCTATGTGTGGCTGTGACAGCTAGTAGAGGCCATCGGATGGTTTCTTTAGCTGCCTGTGGTAGGTAAGGGTGTTCTCTGCAGGCTGTGGGCTGCATTTCTCCAGATTCCTCCAGCCTGCCCTTGGATGTAACAGAACCTGGAAGATGATGGTGAGACCAGCGCATCCCCCTCGACCAGCCTCTTGCTCTTTCCTAGTGTCATACATAGACAGGGCCATGGGAACTAGGAACTGGGCTACCTGGTTTCTTACTCAGCAGCAGGTTGTCCCTAGAGTCAAAAGTCTTTCAGCAGAAAGTTGTCAGGCCTGGGAGCTGGGAGAGCTGGGGCTGGATCCAGCTCCATAACCCCTGTGACCTTGGGTATCTCCCTTTTGCAGTGTGTGTGTGTGTGCACGCATGTGTTTTGGAGGATGGATTTCTGAGGCCTGGACTTCCTCTGGAGGTCTGAATATTGCTATTTGTCTTAGGAGCAGGCTGATAACTTCCTCAGCAATAAGTGAAGTGCTTCAGAGTTCTACAGACAAAAGGCAATGGATAAACACAGGGTGTGCTTCTGAGCTTGGGTCTGCCCTCCTTTCTTTTGGCCCCACCTCCCAGAGCAGCGCCTACTCCTCTGCAGCTCCCACCAATTCCCAGCATCCTCTTTGTAGGCTCTAGCCCATCCCCATCCCTTCTTGTCTGCTAATAGCTGGGCTTCTTATGGTAAAGTCCCAAGATACTATGAACTGGAAAGAGAAACTAGAAGACAGTCTGCTTTATGGGCTTCTGGTGGCCCAGGTGATTTATTCTAGAGTGGGTCATGAGCTACTGGGCTCTGTCCCTAATCAGGGAAACAAAAAGCAATGGCCTGAAACTATAGAAATAGTGAGTGAGGTCAGACAGCAGGAAGACCTCAATAACAGCTAATGTTTATATAGTACTTACTATGAGTAAGGTATTATTCTAAGTACTTTAAATTTACCAACTCATTAGTTCTTGGAACAGCAATGAGGCAGATAATAACCCCGTTGTACAGATGAGAAAACTGAGGCACAGAGAAGTCAAGTCACATGGCCAAGGTCACATAACTATTGACATCAAGTAAGTGGAAGAACCTAGACTTGAACCCAGGCAATCTGGCTTTAAGTTCATATTCTTAACTACGACTATACATCTTGGGGTATTTTGTTGTTGTTTTTTAATCCTCTCCAAGGACATTTTTTCATTGCTTTTCAGAGAGTGGAAGGGGGGGGGAGAGAGAGAGAGAGAGAGAGAAAGAGAGAGAGAGAGAGAGAGAGAGAGAGAGAATGAATCATCAATGTGAGAAAGACACATCAATTGGTTGCCTCCAGCTCTTGACCTGGCTGGGGCAGAGCCTGCAACTGAGGGATGTGCCCTTGGCTGGAATCAAACCTGGGACTCTTCAGTCCCTGGGCTGACACTGTAACCACTGAACCAAACCTGCTAGGGCTCTTGGGGTGTTTTGTTTGTTTGGTTTTTGTTTTGTTTTGTTTGGCTAGGCAGGAAAGGCAGGAAGAGAACAGGGGCCTGTGATGCGCATGGAGAGCACTAGGGGTAGGATTGGGCTAGGTCTCTGTCCAGTCCTGGTTGGCTCTCTGGATCTGTGAGTCCTCTGAGAGCATGTCCTCCCAGTCTTTGATGCTGGGATGGAAGGACCCAGAGTTCTTCCTCTGAACCTCTGGCCTCCCCCAAGGCCATCAGCCTCTGGCCAGTTTGGGGCTTTCTCAGCAAAGGCCCATGGCACAAGTAGATTCCCTTTGTATGAGGACTGTTGATACTCTTGGCTTCTCCCATCACCTACACAGGTGCAGAGGCTGGTCAGAAACTTGTACCAGCACCTGCTCCTAGCTAGTCCTCTCTCAGATGCAGAGTAAGTAAGAAGCAGCCTGTGGGATGGGAGCCAGACAGTCCTCTGCAAATAGGCCTTCCCCTGCCATAGGCCCAGACCTACCAGGGCTATCCCAGAGAGTAGCTCAGGCTGGGAACACCAAGGAGGAAAGCAATATAGACAAGTCCCTGGGCAGGCTGGCTCCTGAGAGTGGCTCCTCAGGGAGTCTTTGTCCCCCCTGAGCATCTCAGGGAAAGTGTCTGCCTTAGCTCTTCCTTCCCTATCAGTTTTCAATACTACTATGTGCTTGACCCTATGCAGGGTGCAGGGCTCCCCTGAAACAAATGTCAGCTGACCTAGACTCACCACCAGTAGCTGGGTGGTGCCCTTTTCTGAACAGACTTTCACAGATGTCCTGTGGACAGAAAGAGGGGAAACTCTGCTGGTCGATTTCTCTGCCTCTCAACTCTGGCCCTCAGAGAGGGTTCTTTGCTGGACCTGAGGGGGAGGCACCAGGCAGGCAATCTTGGGGCCAGGAGCTTCAGGAGGACGCCAGCTCTTCTGATTTACCCTCTCCCTATTAACATTTCCTGCAGCTTGGGATTCCATCACTGGTAATTTATTATTAAGGTTACATTTGCCTTCTTTCTGCAGACTTATTGTTAAAATGCAAACATTACATTTGAGGTAATAAATTAAGTCCCTGATTTTTAAAAGAATGTTTATCAGATCCTTTCTGTCCAACAGGAGCGATGTAGACACGAATTCTGAGCTTGCTAAGGGCGATGTTAATGAACAGAGAAAGGCATGCCAAAAAGGAGGGTTATGAGGAAGACTTCCGCCCC